TTTCATTGTCACGCAATAAAAAATAAAATCAAAAACCATTCAGTGGATAAAGTCAAGAAATTGTGATATTATAGAAGATAAATAAAGAAGACAGTTCTCGAAGTTTAAGGTGTGTGTATTGTCCCAAAGTTGAGATATTGGTCAAAATGTTTTGCACAATCAAATTTACAGAGCCTTAAGAGCAGTATCGAGCTGCCATGCTGATGTTCCTCTGTGTTACACCAATATGGCGGCCAGAAATAATGTTAACATCTGGAACTCACTTTGGTTATCTAGGACACTGATTATCTACACTGAAAAAACAAACATTTAAAAAAGTACTTTTCCTAATACTTAAACATTTCACACGGCTAAAATCACGAGATAAATAAATATTTTTTGAAAAATGCGATCGTAGCTTTGTCACGCACTGCCATAACTCTGGTTTCCAAATGAAGAATGCTATTGAGCTGGAAAAATGTAAACACATAAATCTAGTATCTCTTAGGCCTGATAAGGATAAAAACTTTGGTGGTTCTTCAGTTTTGAATATAAGAATTTGATGACGTCATGTGAAAATGCTCTATAACATGATCTATCCTTTGAATTGAGAAGTCTGGGTACGACTTTTTTTTTGCCAACCAACATCAATCGATGAATGGCTTTTGTGTGACTATCGATTGATCATCGATTGACCAATACCAATCAATACCAATTACAGTAACTAATTTTATCGATTGATATCGATTGCTTTTCTGATCATCATTTTCCATCGACTGGACACCATGGGTTCCAATAATACACCACGTAGATAATCGGAAGAAAACAATCTCTTGAATTTCAAACATATTTTGAGCAACTGTAGCAACAGGTGGTATGAGGACGGGAAAAACCGTAATGCATACCGGTAGACGCTACATGTACCTTCCTGAAACTTGGAAAGGCCTTAATTCTAAATAATTATTGGAAAAAAAAAAAAACAATCAAACAGACACTAACTTCGCAAGGTCAAGAGCCAGCTATCTAACATGAAGGATATTGGTAAGGTTTGCCGTAGTAAGAAAATAAATAAATAACAAGCGACCGAATCATCCAGCTGTTTTCTATAAGTAAGCTTAAGTTTCTTAACGCTTACTGCTTGCAAAACCTTCCGGGATAACCCTCCATCTATTTTTACACTTTTACTGCTACAAATATTACCTTTCATGAGTGGTACGACGGATTAAGCGTTATGAACCTCGAAAGGATGAAAGCTGCGACTATTGTGGCCAACGTGAAGGTGAAAGCATAGAAATAAAACGTCTGTTCGTCTTTAAAGATGTCCACCATTTTGTCTGCAAACAAACAAAGCTCCCGGTCAAAGGACTGGAAATGAGCAGTGACGTCATGCCAGCGCCATCGATATCACAACAAAATGGCGACCTGTTTTAGTTGGAACAATCACTTTGTTTTTTACGCATTTATTCTTCTTTTTCCCGCCATCTGGGGTAGAAACCATCAAATACTACTAAAGGTATAGTTATTTTATGAATCTATTGACTTTTTGTATCGTTTGACTTGCAAAAGACGTTGAGTTATTGCTAAACAGTTTCGCTTGCAAATTATATACAGGATGAAGTGAGGCAGACAATCGAGTTGAGTAAGTTCGGATTTCTTCAGAATGGGATCCTCAAAGTGAACTTTTCTGATATGGTGGTTCAAGGCGACCGTGATAAAGTTCTCGTAAGTATTGAGTTCTATATATAACTTCTAATTATACATCTAAGCTCTCAAAATTTAATTATGATATGTTCACTTGATTCGCGTTGAGTAACACTTAGCTTCTGTCTTCATTTGAAATAAATGAGCCGTCATATCTCAAATCTTATTTTCGTTTAAAATTTAGTTTGGTTTTTCCTTGGAGAAGACAGGGAGCGACGGGATTTCACCCTACATGGTAAGCTTATTTTATTTCTGTTGAAACTAGCGATAAAAATATTATATATACAAATTAAGATATACTGTGCTCAACGTCTTTAATTTGTTTACTAGAATTTCCTTTTCAATTTTTTTACATCTAAATCTCGCCCTCAGAAATTATTCCAACAAAATTGCAAAGAGTAATGAAATAAATCAGACTTGCAAAAAAGAGCAAGAAAACTTGAGTAGTTATCATGCCAGGTTTTAAAGGAAGTATGTTGAAATCTCCTTCAAATGCTGATTTTTTGTTTGCTGTGTTTGTATAGCTGTTCCGCCAGTCGTGGAAAGCATAAATTTGAAATTTTGAAATGGAGATATCTTGCTTTGTAATCATTTGATTCTTGTCACTTTTACTTCAGACATAGCATTTTTGTCTTAGTTTGGCAGACAAAATTTAATTTTTGACAATATGCCAATTTAAAGAAACAATATATGTACACTGTATGCAATTTGAGAAAACATCCTGTAGAGAAGCATGTGTTGAAAGCCATACTTATATCCTAGGAGACAGCTTTATGTTCAAAGCACTTTTGTACAAAGCCTTGCGAGGGTGACCCCCATTTAAAAGGGTCCTTTTCAGTTATTAATATTTGTTTGCTTACCAGTGTGTTGGAGTTTCTCAACAGCTGAGAGCTTGTTTTAAAATGGGAGATATTCCTAGACTATGTTGTTGTATGGATATTATTTTAAAGTTCTACCAGGCTCAAGTCTAAAACACTTATAATTATTTGAAATAGACTTTAAATTTGTTTTAAGTCAAGTGTTATAAAGTCATAAAATGTCATTTAAAGTCAAATGTCAGAAAAGAGACTAAGAATATTCTAAACATTTTGGATAAATGAAATAAAAGGATACGTTTGCTGAATGTTATTGTCTACAAGTATGGCATCACTACTACATGTACATGACTGTATGAAAACTGTTTTCAGTAGACTGTACATTTAACAATTCTTCACATGGGAAAACAATTGTCTACAGGTACGATGCAGTGAAACCATGCCAACAAGAATTATCTGGGTGCTTTAAGCCAATCAGAATTAAGACAGCGACACCAGTGTATACTAATGAGGCTTTCTCTGCTGATGTAATATTTTTCCTTACTCAGGAACAGCACAGTCAGAACTGCATTCTTAAGGATACCGAGCAGTCATTTACTAATACCAACCAAATATCTCTGGCACTTATCAAGTTTGATCTAAAGAGTGGTGAAGAATGGTAAGTGCAAAGTTTTTGAGCTTAAGTGAATTTAGCTTTGGTGTAAAAGGGAGAGAAAATATAGTTCTGGAAAGTAAGGATCCATTTTGATAAACTTTTTCAAAGAAAATTAGAGATAAAAACTCTGCTTGACATTTCAATGCCTTCATTTCGTCATCGTTTAAGTGACAGATTACACCTGTATGCATACAGTACAGAAATGGCAGCATGAATAAATACATCAAATTATGTATATAAAACATGAAAATACATGTACAAGTATTTAATAAACAAAATGGTTTCCGTGAGTCGATCCATACATCCAATAAAAACAGCACAACATCGAATTAAATGCGGTGATCTTTAATATGGTCCAACAAGTAAAAGCTGAAATAAGGATGCAATAACCAACTAAACTTAACTATAGCTTGATTAATCCGAGGCACAATAGATGAAAATCACTTCAGCTGACCTGAACAATCAAAACATTACACAACAAGAAATACAGTAGGTATTTCGTGAAATCATTGAATGTCAGCTACTGAAGCAATAAATTTAAGAAAGAAAGAAATTGACAAACAACATAAGAGCAATTACAAAACAATAACATCATGTGCATACCTCTATCCCGATCTTGGGGCGAAACAGCATGCATGGGAAACCAGAAATATACACTAAAACTCTAAAGAACTTTGGATGTTATTGTAGCGTAATGGAGCACCGTCAAAAAACTGAAAGCATGAGGTTGGCACTATGCTTACTGCGCATGACTCATAATGTGACCAAACTAAGTAATGCAAGGGTAATGCTGCACTCTTCTTTCTAATCATGAACACTCAAGCTTGCCTTGGCAGTTTATAAGGATTTTAAAACCCTGACTTTTGAAGATTCACCAGTAACCATTTTATCAACAGACTGTAGAAATTAAAAGTGACGGTTTCAGTTAAAATTGTCAAATTTGAAACCCCACATCAAGTTTATTAAAACTTGTGGCCAAGGACAATTTTTATGTTTTAAGCATGATTCCCAGTGAAGCAATTTGAGCTCAACCTGTGGGTTATTTCTGTTAATCTGTTGATAAGCATTTGATCATACTGTAGAGCAATTATTTTCTCCTTCTTTAACACAGAGGTAGTACATGTATTGTTTTATTTTATATGGGAAAAGTAAAACTGGGAACTGTTCAAAAGCACAGACACACACAAAAAAAATATGTAGTTCCAGAAAATTTTCATACCCACTTTAACGCAGGCTTTTGGAAATTCCAAGAAGAGGGAGTGTTCTTCAAAAAAGGCAAATTTTGAAGGGAAACTATAAATCAAAACCAGAATTTCAGGAGCAGTTCAAGTTTCAGGAAGAACTTGTGGAAGTAAAGGTGAATTTGTAAGTCAAAAGTTACTTCCAGAAAACTATCAATCATAATATAAGTCTTAGAACATTGTGAAGTTCCAGTCAAAAGAATATCTGGTTTGACTGTAAAAATTTTACAAATTCATATTCTAATTGAACAAGACCTCAACCTATTCACTCGATAATTAATTTTATTATTAGTGTACATGTACAATCTGTTTTGCTTTGATCTTTTAATTTTTCAGTATAACAATTGATAAATATGGTAAAGATTTCCTGAACCTGAGTATCAACAATGAACCTGCTCCCGTACTGGCCACCGTAACAACAGTCTCATCATCTGGTGGACAAAGCACCTCCAAAACTCCAATTTTGTCATCTACTGTACCAAACAATGCGACGTCTAGTTCTTCTCCTACTGCAGAAAGCAGCTCCACTTCAACTTCTCCTTCTACTCAACAAACCTCTGCTACTTCAGCTTTAACAATTCAAGCAGCAACGAGTTCTTCTGCTGCAAAAAGCAGCACCACTTCATCTTCTCCATCTACTAGACAAACCACTGCTATTTCAGTTCTAACAACTCAAGCAGCATCTACAACTGGAGCTCTGAACCATTCATCTGTTGCTCAGCCAGGAGACCATGAAACATCAAATACAACTGAAGGCAACGGAGCACAAAGAAGAAGAAGAAGAAATGCTGTCACAAATCCTGTGACTCATGTGAAAAGTGAGGTCAAATCATTGCCTCTGAACCTAGAGGAAACTAATGTCTCTGAATTCAAGTACTCTGGCAATGTAAGTTCTGGATACAGTTTTACCAATGTGTGTGTTGTATATCCCCAAAAGAACTTTTATCAGCCATAGGCTGATGCTTAGCTTTAACTTTCACAGTGTGAATGAAGTACAGTTTACTGTAGGAGTTTTGAAGTCCTTGAAAGGTGGGCTAATGAGCTGCGTTCTCCATAAGCACCTATGTGGCAAAAAATTGCAGATTGCAAACAAGTGAATTACTCTCAGGCTCGCATACACTGTATGGGCGGTGGTTTATACTTCATGTAAAATGATACTTCTGATATTTGTGTACTTATTACGCCAAAATGCTTCTGTCATTGTGGAAACTAAGCTTCACCGCAGTTATGACCTTTCACTTTCACCTTTCCTCTTCATGCCAAGTGTTATATAAGGCCTCTCACCATGGTTGTGGTGTTTGAACAGTAGAGTAAATTTCTGGGAGATGATACCTTTGGCATTAAACATTAAAGCATTTCATTGGAGCATGTAATAAGAACTGAAATGATGTTCCTTTTCTTTGGTTGGAAGATTCTGAATGCTCAGCGCTGGCTACTGCATATTATTTCCTACAAACATCAGATTTTTGGGAGAACCACACTTATAGTTAGTGAGCTGATAACTTTATACATGTACAGTGTCAGCTAAGATGTTTCTTGTGCTTTTATTAGTTTGTAGTGCAGATTAAAAGCAAGGCTGAAGAGGGATTATACAACTTGTACTTCCACAACTGTCGAAATGGACTGACCGTTCCTGTAGTACCAGTGACAATTCAGGTACAGTATGGCGTGTTTGTTTCAAAATATTTCTTTAAAATTTATTTTATAATAATACTCAGATCTAATGCTTGCACAAGAGTCATGCCTTGTCAGTTCTCTTGGCACATTCACATTTGGTTAGTACATAAAGAATAAATTGCATCTTATGTGTACCCTTGAAATTGTCATGTGCAATGATGCATGCAGCAATTTTAGGGGGTGACTCATGAGTGAAAAACGTGGCATGAAATATCACAAGAAATCAAGCCTTAAGACTTAACTTCACGAGAGATGCTTAAGTTTTTACTTGTCTGTGATACATGTAAGTATCCTACTTCAGTTATTGCTCTTTTACCTTTACATGTACCCACATATGAAAGGCCTGGTAGAAAAAAGGGCATTAAGTATTTTTGGCCACGAGTGAACTTTGTCGAAAACACTCTAAATTTTGCATGCAGTTTTGTTTACTGTGTTAAACAATGTCCTGTTTTTTTGTTTTTTTTCCGCTGAAGTTCTTTTTCATCAGGCCTTTCATATGTAGTTGTAAACTTTCTCTTTTTCATTTCTTTTTGGTTTAAACAGATTAACATTGAAGAGAAAAATGGGGACAACTACTTGTCTGCTGGAGAGGTGAGGTTTCAAGAAAATTTTCTGTTGTTACATGTATTGTTATTTGTTCATTGCTGCAAAATGTATCTGTTGTTGTTTTTGTTGTACTGTATACAATCATGTTATGTTAACACCAAAAAACTTATTAAATTATCTACACACTAAGTCTTTGATTCTCTTACCCACAGTTGTAAAGTACTGTACATATTAAGCAGTCATTTTGTAACTGTTAGGGTTAACTATGTTTTGGGACTGATTAACAGGGTGCAATAAATTATTGGGAAATGAACTGGCATGTGGACATTGAAATTGACATCCAAGTCATGTCAATTGTCCACAAGGGAGAGAAGTCTGAGGTATTTTCAGTGTTGGAAACTAAATGTTGTCAGCACTCGCCATTTGGCCGAGGGACTCCCAAAATCCACTTGCCCAGAAAGATGCCTCCCCTCCCCCCAAAAAATCTCAATGGACTTCTTTGTCAAGAACATTGTCATCACAAGGGATGGAATTAGTGCGAAGTGACATTATGACTCTTAAACTTTAAGAATTTTGGAGGCAGTGTGACCAAGTAGTCAAGACACTGGACTTGAAATCTAGAGGTCACAGGTTCAAGTTTCGTTCTGATCACTACATGTAGCCGCTGTTAATCTCAGTAATCCCAAGTTTAACTCCTCGGGTGTGCTTGTAAATAGCCAAGTGGTCTGTCTCATTCCAGTTGGAACTTTTATGTATGTTAGGTTCATTCATTTGTTTCATCGTTTGTTTCCATTGGCCCTGAAAAGCCCTCTAACATTTGGAAATGAAAATTGGACAGTTGTAGTATGTAAGTCAATCATAGTTTGGGCCTAAACAGTGTTAAATCATGTTGTACTACAGGAGCCGCTGCCCTATATGTTTGGTGTCCTATCTGTGCTGTTCTTTGGAACATCAATTTACTGGCTTCATATCCTGAGGAAAAACAGGTGAATGTGGTAGAAAACTTTTTGACAGACTGTTGACAGTCTGTTTTTCTCTCAAAATCAGGCAGAAAGTATAAAATATTAATTTTAGTCATGTAACATTTGGTAATTGCATGCATTTGTCATGAATGAATACTCTTGGTCCTTAAAGTTACATTTCTGCTCTGGGAGTCATTATTCCACCCTTGATAGTATTCTATTGTTTTTTCTCTAACAGAGAATTTACATACAAAGTTCATTATATGATGTTCACTCTAGCCCTGTTAAAATCTCTTGATTTGATGTTTCAAGCAGTAAGTACTGTCAATTGCATAAATTGTATACCAGTACATGTATTACATGTATTGTTACCAGTACGTGTAATAAACAGTGGTCTCTTGTACTTGTACATTTAGAGTAATTGCAATGTGCATGTACAACTCTTTCAATTTAGTCTCTCAGCATACCAGTTTACAGTTTAGTTGGGTTCAAATGAGGTACAACAGCATACATGTACAGTACACTCATACGTATTTCTGGTAGGTATTAAAAGACATTACTGCATGTAGGTAAAGTGGAAGGGAGGGAGGTAGTGCAAGGCACAGTTTTTGTCAGTCACAGTCATTGTTTACTATAACACTCGACCACCTTTCAAGATTGATTAAAAAACAGATCTTGAGTCTGTAGTGTTTTGTAAATTAACTTACATGTAATTTCTTTATAAGCACTGTTTGCCAGGTTTTTGTCAACTTGATTTACTTTCTTTGCCAAACAGGTCAATTTTCACTTTATCAATAGAGATGGCAAACCAGCAGAATCATGGGAAGTGTTATACTACATCACACATCTGTAAGTGATGCAATCAACTGTGTACTGTAAAATGTAAGGGTACCTTAAGTATTTGTTTCTGTGGGAAAATTCAGCCATATTTAAGGTCTCTTTCAGCCAGTAAAATATGAAGACAGCCAACCCTTAGCTTCATCCCTAGGGCTATAGTAACATAGCCCTTCCCATGCCTTGTATGCCCAACACAGCTGTCTGGTCATTGTCTTGATAATACATATACTTTGTTGTCATCAACTGGTATGGAGCACACACAATGATATTCTTGCAAAGTATCCAATAAGTTTAACAGTTACACTACACACGGTACATCCAATTGCTCATGAATTATATGTGTATGTTACATGTTTGATGATCATGCCATCTTTTTGATCCATTTTAGGTTAAAAGGAGCATTACTGTTTACAACGATTGTCTTAATTGGTACTGGGTACTTCTTTATCAAGCATGTCCTGTCTGATAGAGACAAGAAGATTTTTTTGATTGTTATACCACTACAGGTAAGTACACATTTTTTTATAAGTCAGTGATCCTTTGTTGAGGGATTTTCTGATTTAGACAAGATGGCGAGTAACACCAATTTTTATCTGCTTACATGTACATGTAAACAGGTGTAGTACATTGATGCATTAAATCTCTAGTAGTTTTGATTGTACAAATGTACATGTACATATGACTTTTGCTGATCACTGTTTGATGGCTTTTTCACTGAAGATTATTATTTTATCACTGTTCATACATGTATATGTGCATGTACAAGGCTGCATCATAGACATACTGTAGCTACACCTAACATGTACACCTACTGAAGGTAGAAATAATATATCAACACAAAAAAAATTAATTCTGTTTTTCTTATTTTATGTAGATTCTAGCAAACACAGCCCAGATTGTGATGGAGTCAACAGAGGAAGCAAACATGCAGTACACAACATGGATATCCTCTCATTTATTAATATGACATTATCAATACTAATAGAATTGGTAATTACTGTTGAACCTCTTATGACTTTAATAATCATGTGTGTCAAGTCTTGAAGAGGCTTGCAGCAAGCATCAGTTGAACATTATAAGATAAATTGCTTTAATTTGTGCTTATTCCTTTCAATGTTGCTGCTTTGAGGTTCTCTCTGTAGTCTTTTTTTATGAACAAAATAGTAGAATGTAAGATTTATGTTGCCACTTAAAGATTGATTCCTTGACTGTTCTTACAAAGAGCTCTTTATTTTGGTGGACCTGCTCTGCTGTGGAGCAATCCTATTTCCTGTTGTGTGGTAAGTATCAACTATGTACCCTTTGAGTCTGTCACCATAGCTACTTCTGGTGCGAGAGTCTTCTTGTCCTTCGTAATATTTTGAATAAGGCTCAATGACTTCAGTTCAAAGTCTGTTTATAGCTATTTAACTAGCTCTACGATGTAGATGTACAATGTGGGAGGCACGGTGTCCTCATGGTTTGTGTGCTCGTCTCCAGATCGAACGGTCCAGGTTCAAACCCTGGCTGGGGTCATTCACTGGACTTTACTCTCACGGTTCCTCTCTCCACCCAGGTGTATAAGTGGGTACATATGTATCTGAGGGTAACCCTGCTATGGACTAGCATCCCATCCAGCCATCCAGAGGGGAGTAAAAGTACTCCAAGTCGCTTCATGCTACAGAAACCGGGATAAGCTAGGGCCTGATGGGCCACTTGGCTCGTATGCAAACTTTACCTTTTTTTAACATTGAAGAGTACACTGTAAAAGAGGATCAAGAATATTATCCAGGATCTTTAGAAATGAAGGTTTGCATGTACATGTAGATGATCAGTCTTTGTGATCCTGGCTAATTTAGCATGCATTTTGTTTTGTCACAAAGGGGAGAAATGTTTGAAAAGACTGCCAATGCCTTAGTGCTGCAGTTGTACTATGTAATTTTGTATTGCGCAGTTTTACATGATAAAATGCTGTACTTTCATGTTTCAGGTCAATAAGACATTTACAAGAAGGATCTCAAACTGATGGAAAAGGTGTTGCAGCTGTGAAAATACGCATTCTTGTAAAATATTAAAATACCCTAAAGTTCTGATAAGTCCTGGGCTCCTCCATGTGCATCTGTTTAGAAGGCTTATTTTATCTGTTTTGCTGGGCTCATTTTCAGGACAGGGAGGGGTTGTATTATTGCAAGGAATTTTTCATATCAGAGGTGATCAGGAATGTTACATCTGAGAAATTTTAAATGTAGGGGATAATAAAGTTAATAATTTACAGGATAATTTAGAAAACACAAAACAAGTTCACTAAATGAACCTGATCACAATCTCTAACTAAATCATACATCCAAACTTTGTTAACAACACCGCTTTACCTGCATTCTCTTAACTCTTCCATACCGGTATGTTACAAATGTTCTTTCTTTAAATTAATGGGGCTGGTGTACTTTTTTTCTTTCTTAAAAAAAAAACTAAATTTTCTTAAATACCTTTTTTTACAGCTGCGCTCAATTTAGCCAAACTGAAGCTCTTTAGACATTTCTATGTGATGGTAAGTCAAGCTATGTTGCTCCTGAACCTCTTTAATACACTGTTTGGAATCGGATGTTTTTTTGTTCTTACTACTAACTGCCGCAATGGACTTCAGTGAGTAATTGGTGGAGGCTACATTTCCCAGCTGTTTATTATGACAGAGGATGGATTAAGCTCATTGATATAATTAAAGTAGCTATACAGTGTGTGTAATTCGTAACACAATTGGCTCATACTTTGTATTTCTTAACCCTCTGAATACCAAACTTTCGCCAAAAATTCCGTTTTTTTACCGTTCAGTCAGGTCTTTTGGCTGCCATGACGCTAAATAAGCCTAAGTTTTGCTAAGATAACTTTTTTTACTAAAAGGAGAGGTTTTTCGAAGATTACGTACAAAATTGAGCAAGATTTCAATTCCGGGCGTGCGCATAAGCCAAAATTTGGACTTCGGGTTAGGGTTATTTTTTTTCTTTTTTTTTTCTTTTTTGTCATTACCCGTTCTCGATATTGTTTGCTGCCCCTTTCCTTTCTGTTTTGCACGGCCCTTTTACTCTGGCTACCTTGTGCGTTGCATGTTCTTTCTGGCTGCCGTGAAAAGTTGGATGTTAATTACGGGCGAAGCCTAGAAATGGACCTTGGTCAATCATGCGCATAGTGGACCACTTTACCATCGTTTTTGCACCAAAACTGATAACGTTGTTTTTCGATTTGCGACGTCGGAATGTCGTCGATATCTAAACCTGACCATTGTACGGAAAGGCCTAACCTAGCTCTAACATCTGCTTACCAATAATATCTGTGGTGACATTTAAATTGATGATGTCACAAGTGGTACAAAGAGCACGACCATTAAGTGGCTGCATATGGCTACTTGTGCGTCAAAGGGTTAATGCTTGGTTTTGCTTCCTCTATTGATTGATAAATTCTTGGCTTTGTTTGTTTAATATGGACATGGAAAGTTTTTTTGTCATTTCTTTATTAAATCTATCAATGTTTTTTTTTTCTTTTTTTAGATTGTCTGTTACATCTATTTCACCAGAATAATCGTGTACTTGATCAAGGTTAGTGCAGCTGTCTACTTGTGAGTTTAACCAACAGCATTTGATTTAAGGTCATTCCACCGAAATAGAACCTGCACTGAGATTTTTGTGAAACTTTGCTTATTGATTGTTTATATTATAGGAACTTAAATTTTGAAATAAAAATGAGGGGTCCCCATGTTCGTTTAGGAACAACATCACCTTGTTTATGTCCAATAAATCCTTATAATAGCACCGTGATTGTAGTCACGATTGCTTGCTAAATTCACGTTTTTGTTCTACACTGAGAATTGGTCCATATTTATTTTGCACAGAGAAATTTATTACTCAGTTCAAAACAACAGAAACAAGTGAAAGGTCACCATACTCGTTTGCGAGGTCCAGCCGTAAAGAAAAAGCCGCCATTTTTTAATGCGCGCGCGCTAATCACGCGTGAAATTATGCGCAGTAGGGATGCGCGTTGCAATACTGGGGAATGACCTTAACAATACATTCTATACCAACCCATAGCATGAACTGATATGTCTAACACGTTTGAACTGCTTGTGCTTAATGATATATAATTTGATTATGAGCTTCAAATGAAAATTGAATATGTTGTTTGACGGGGGTGGAATCCTATAGAAAATGCATGTTCTTTCTCAGATAAGAATATTTAATATCTACTTCAATGTTGATAAGTTAATAAAGATGGTGAATTTTTACTTTAATTTTACTTCAATGTTGTTTTTACATCTTATATGTATTATTTATACTTGTAACCTGTAGTCAGGTGAATAACTTGTAAGTGAGTTTCTGTTCTTTTTGCCTCGTGTCCAAAGTCACGTGGACTTGGATTCTTTGCTATCCTAATGTAAGATTCCTGTGAGGGGTGGTGCAGGCAACGTACGGGTTAATCAATTTTGGCTACAAAAGACGGGCATAAACCCGACGATGAATTGACGGCGTGTTGGTGCTATTGATTTTTTTCCTTCTCATTTCAGATAACAGTGCCATTTCAATATATGTGGTTGGATGATGTAAGTGTTTTCTTTCTTTTCTTTGACAGCGTTGATTTTCCAAGTTTTTCATCTTTCACTTAACATGAATATCTCTTCTGCTTTATTTCAGTTCTTCAATAATGCAGCCTCCTATGTCTTCTTTGTTCTCACTGGGTAAGAAACGAAAACTATTCCTTTATTTTAGATCACTATTTGTTGCATCAAAGCAAAAACTATATCGACAATGATATATTTTACAATATTTACCTCACCATATGGGAGTAGATTTTAAATATAGCCCAATGTACTTTGTGCGATGGGAAAACCATTATTGCATTTAGGAATTTTACACCAAACAAGCTCAGTGCTTGCAGACTGTTTGTGGTGAAAGGTCCTACTCAGGAAGGGGATTTCAGTGAGGGGAAATTTACACCCGTGAGGGGGAATTCTCTGTGACAGTTGCTGCTAGGTATGGAGAGAGGGGGCACTATAATATTGTGTGGGGAATTATCTACAGGAGTCGGAGAATTAAGGATGACATACTTTGGTCAACACACTCCCTTAGTTAATGTGCATTCGGTGGGTAATGTTCATTAAAATGTTGGTAAATGTTGAATGTTTATACTGGTCGATGCTGTTAGCTACACCTAGCTAGTTCTCAGGCATGCCCCTTAAACTGAAAGAAAGAAATATTTCAGATAAACATAATACGCTTAAAAATCCCAACTGGGGAGAGGCAGACCAGTTGGCTAATTACAAGCATGACTGAGTGTCTACCGAGAAACAACTCCAGCTTGGTGGTCAGAGCGGAACTTGAACCCGCGACCTCCGGATTTCAAGTCCGGCGCTCTAACGACTCGGCCACGCTGCCTCTTTTCGTACGAACGTCATGCGCCATTTTGTTGGACTGGGGAAAGGTACACTTGGATTTTCTTGCAAATAGAAAATGTTAGTCCCGGAAGCGTTAGACGCTTTACGTGTCTTCCAACACTATAAATTAGTTTGTTACTGTCTATTAGGTTGTTGTATGTTTTAACTGTAATACTTGGTTGTGTTATTTGGATGGATGTAGATATAAATTCCGTCCTGCTCCGGACAACCCTTACCTGCATGTACCACAAGGAGACAGTGATGATGAAATGGAGATGGAAGAAGTGTAAGTTGATTCACTGAGAAATTCTCATTACTGTATCAAGACGAATTATTAACAACCAGCAAGCAGGTGTTAAAAATGCAAAACTTCACACGTTTGTGCTGATCTGTGAACGAGGTAATTAATGTTTGTGAAGTGTAACAATCTTGACGAAATACTTTTAATTGATCCCGTTTGAAGGGCTGGGACTTACCGAACACCGCAATTCTTCGAACGGGTTATTGTAGTGTTCTTGCGTGTTCCGTGTGCAGTGGCTAAAGGTTCACCCCCTGCATGGGTTTTGTTCCGACTGGATATTTACACCTGTTGCACTATTAGTTTGGAAAGGTTAAAGACGATATTCAATTAAACCACTCTGCCACTTAAAACACCAATGAAAAATACCTTAACTTTCCTTTCTGTAAAGACGCCTCAAAGAGAATTTGTTCGTCTTAGCTCAAGGACATTTGTTGACGTTCAGCACGGTTGAATGAAGTTTGTTTCTTCAGACTTGCATAACGTGCAGTTTTTGATTTTAACTATTTGTCCAGCCTTTCATGTTCTTTACACTTTCCATTGATTATTTCAGGGTCACAAATGCAGGTATCGCCGATGGAGTGACCAGACTACAACCTTCGTCAAACGGCAAGAGAATATTCGAAACAGCATAAATAATAATTGTGTGACTGTGTACTACCTTAATTCAAATAACTGACAATTACTTCGCATATTGTGTGTATAGATTTGTCTTTGCGCGTACCACAAGTTTCGCGTGCGGCTCTTTCCAGAAACAGTATGCGCGTAGGTGTCTAGTGTAGATGACCAAATTAGATGTTCACATTATGGATAATATATTTGGTACCTGATAATGTGAAATATGTACAAGGTTCACCCGACCTTATTTATCAATTAAATATATATAGAACAAGTACAAACCTCTCGTTTACCTCAAGCAAAGTGTTAACATTTCCTTAAATTTTTATGGTTTGAGGTTTAATTTGTAGAACTCGGCGACCGTCAAAGTGTGGTTGTGGAGAGTAGGGTAACTGTTTCTGTTGTGAGAAGTTGACGGAGGCGTTTTGCGTTGCAAATTGTTAGAATAGAGCTTTCCAGGAAGGTTATAATGAAAGATATTTATTTCTATATGATCTCTATAGGGTGGCTTGTGATGGTTGTCATCCCTTTTTCATATACTACTACCTATTAGTATAAATCTACGAGCGTTCTATCACGAATGCCGTTCTCTGATTTGGCTACGCTGCTCACTATCTATTCTGTTGTAGACGGTGAGTAGGTGAGCAGCGTGCGCTGGAGGCCGCTTCTTTGTATTTTCGAAGTGTCTTTGAAGAGGATTTAGATTAAGGTTTTGAACGACTACTAGATACTAAAACAATTAGATTATTCGCTCTCGATTTCTATGCGTGATATCTAATTGTTAAATATTGATTGGTATTATAATAATCGTAGCAAACGAATCACTAGTAGACAAGTTTTGATTATCTTTTTGATATAACAGGTTACCATGACAACAGTATAATCTGTTAAAAACACCTTTAATTTACTTTGTTAAGTGTTTATAACTAAACGTCGGGCTTGGTACGCCAGTGTTTTCCTTTGTTTTGTTTTTAGGATACTAATTGGTGATAAGTAAGTCAGGATGTAACATCTGTTACTCTGCAAAATTTAAATTGGGCTTAAGTTACGCTGCACCACAAGTTACGAGCCACCGTATAAACTGAGTAGGAAGGAAGTAAAGTAGATATCCGACCTTCCAATGCCGGTTAAGAAGAGAAATGAACCGCATGTTGAAGCTACACTAACCCTAGTTGGAATTCTGACAATAGTTAATTGAGGGAAATGGTTTTGAAACCTGGCAAAATTCTTTGTTGTATTGTTTTTGTTGGCTATTTTAGGGGGTTGACCCTGCACAAAACCTGGCAAAATACAAATGGTGGCTATGTGTGTTCGTACAACTAACCAATAGAAGCATTGCAGTTATGCAATTGTGTAATCATGCATAGCCAATGAGCATAAAACAAACGATGTGCAGGGGCAAGGACCTTCCAACATAAATCTTAGCCTGTTTGTTTGCTTCTTTGATGTTTACCGGGCTTCTTAACCATTTCCTCTATTAACTATGTTCTAACTGAATGTCGTTGTATTTTTTATGTCGTGTTCACCAAAGTACAAGTTTCCAGGATGTTACGAGGTTTATTCTCAGTGATGCAACTCTCAAAATAAACTGCTTGTTCGTCGTGCCACGGTCTGTTTTTATCAGTATAAACACGCGCTATGAATGCATGTGTAATATATTGTAAACGCGTTTTAAAGCATGATGCGGTAATTTATTAAATCGGGAGCATTAATTTGAAACTTTTTGCTCTAATATCATAATATGTAATATTTAGTTGCAAGCTGCGCTATCAAATTTAATTTTCTTATCAACGAGAGCATTGAAATTTGATTGAAACTCTGTTTCTGTAATGAAAGTAACTCTAAGTTTGATTGAGTGAGACAAGACAGAGTCTTTCATGAACTTGAGTTTTTTATTGGGAAACTGAAATTTGAATTTTCACAGAAATAAACAAGTGAAATATTTGCTCAAATGAAAATAGAGTGCACAACATGCAGTTACATGAATGAAGCAAGTAAAATAAAGTTTGGTGTTTGAAGTCTGTGATGCAATTATTTTTTCAGCCAGGTAGCACAGCTAACACAGATCTAAGATGTATAACAACGGATTGATATGACGCCTTATTCGTGGTTAACACAGGTGCTCAAAACTCACCACTAACCCCATCCCTTTTGCCCATCTCTCTTTAAGCTTCGTTTACGCAAAATTTTTTTCTCAAACCTCAGGCAGCCTTATGCTGTTTACTGCACATAAGCAATCGTTTCGTCTTTGCTGTTATGAGAATATTCGTTTTTGGCAAAATTTTCAAGTTTACGGTTTCAAAATAGAGAGGCCTACGCGTGAAACTAAGTCGGTCGTAAACGTGCATAGGGAGTATTAAACATGAGGAAGCTTGATTACAAACTTCTCGAGATATCTGCAGTGTTGGTTAACTGAACGGTCAAATTGTTATAATGCCATTTGATCTTTTGGCATCAAAGATGCGACCGTAAACCGTCGTTACACCCCGCTGCATTGCGGGAGGCGCGGTGGCCTCATGGTTAGTGCGCTCGTCTCCGGATCGAGCGGTCCGGGTTCGAGCCCTNTTAAAGTCAGAAGCATATAACATTAGAGCAGGAAAAAACCATACAAGTAATTATAATACAACTAGATGTGTATGTCAAAGGAAGATTACTTAATTTGAGCCATAACACTAAAGAGAATCCAACAAAATAATCTGGCAGAAAGGTAACTTCACAATCATGCCACCTCTCCAACAACAAACCATTTTGTCTTCATCTACCATATCACGGCTCCCGTAAGGTTATTACTGTGCTAGTTTCAACCAAATATCCATTAATAAACTGATTAAGCTCTCAACTGAAGATGCATTACCAGTATACAAAAATCTATTTCAATCCACCATGTCTATTAGTTCTCAACACTCTCATTATAGCTTGGTTTTGTGACTTCATGTCCTTTAATGCCAGCTAATAAACTTGGAAAAAGACTAGGCTTTAAACAGGTGCTTAACTGAGCTTGCCACAGAACCAACTTTTGCTGCAATCCCTTTAGAACAGAGCTTGAAATAGGCAACTGGTGGCTATCCATTGGATAAATCGCTATCCAATGGTAAAGAGTTGACAAAACAAACCACACTATGCGCTAGATAGTGATTTATTCATTGGATAGCTTTATCTGCCTTTCAGACAACCTGAGCCTGATCTGTAAAACTCAAGATTTGTCAAAAACCGATTCATAGTCATAACTCCATTGTCTAGTTTATTCCACGTCAACAAGTCCAATAGCATTGTGTTCAGATGAGAAAGGAGACTGCATGGTTCACTTGTCTAATCACTCTGTTCTATTAAGGAATAGGGATGCTTATAAAAAAAATCAAATAAAAACAATTCTCAACTGGGAGCCTACTGGAAGGGCACACTACATTGTACATTGAATAGCTACAATATGTTTAAAGGGTAATTTTCTAGTGCCGAAATGAGATTTGAAAAATTGTGTTGAAAAGAACTTTTAGAAAGTACAATACAATACAATACAAATTTTATTGTCAACTCCCCATGGGGGCTTTTCAGAGTCAATGATAAAGATAATTAAAAAAATACTCAAAGATTATCGATAAACAGTCTGTCAAAAAGAACAAAAAACAAACAAATATGCAAAAACAATGATAATTAAGTTTTAAATTAAGACTACTAAGTACCACTGTCAGTTATTTCTATAAAAAGAAACAATTAAATCCAATAAAAAAAAAGAAAGGCTTTCAAAAGAGACACCTCATGAAAGGACGTGTACAGAGCCTATGAATTAGACAAAAATAGACCATGCTAAGTCAACACAAAGAAGTGGCATGACTAGTTGAAGGTTTATAAAAGAGAAAGGCTATGGTATCAGAACAACAAAGTAAGTCAATTAAATGGAAACAGGTCCTGGTGTGGTTTGTTACCACAGAAAGGATGCATGGCAACACATGCCAAGTGGCATAATAATTATGTGAACTCATGTCAAACAAAGTTGAGTGTACCAATTAAAGATTAAATTGTCAACCTATCCACAGTCCAAAATTAAATTAACAATTATGAACATCACAGTCTTGTACAAGTTTGTTGGCAAAACATTGCATTTTACATTAACAGTTCAACTGTCAGGGTGAAGAACACTTGACTGAGCAACACTTAAAGCTTTTCTGGTGTTTTAGAAATGAAAATTCCCAGCAAGAATGTTAATTAAATTTCAAGAAAACTGAATGGTCAAATAAAAACAGAGAGCACCTTTAAGGATCTGCAATCAGAAATGTAAAATTTAATAATAACAGAAGTTTGTTCAATTCAGTAATTTGTTCTTTCCAAATGGGAGAAATTCAGAAAATTATCCACTCAATTTATACTGTTCTTTTAGTGTTCATTTATCACTGTAATGCAGGCTCAGTAAATCTGCGGGAGATCAGACTCACACGAGGAAATAAAACCACCGTTTGTTTTGTTCTACAAAACGAACCCAATTAAAACCACAACTAGCGGTTTCGTGAACTTGCCTCAAAATATCCCACACAAAAAAATTATACCCACAGAAATCTTCAATCTAATATCAGAATATCGACCTAAAGTTTTACGAACTCGAAGTGAAGGCCTTCAATTTTGACTTCTGAAGAGCCATTTCCCCATGTTTACAGAACGATCCGATGTTACATAAGCCTGGTCTAGTTTTACCATTTCCCTTGGACGCAATCGTGTAACTGAAATAATAAGATTTAAAACAGATCTCACCTAAGACATCAGAAGCGCTATTTCTGGCCATGAAGAAGGCATCCTCACCATAAACGAACTTGCTCTTCGCCGGCGTAAAATCTTTCGAAAAGCCGCAACTCGCCGTGATAAGCTGTAGTTTGGCGGAATTTTGCCGCTTCAGCAACGGCGCCACAAGTTGCCTCGCATGGGAAGCAATCAAACGGCCATACACAACTGCAGTTTGCATAGCCATTGCTTGTGTTAAGGGTCCGACTTTCACATTGTCACGGAGCGGAAATAACCAAATAACTATATACCACCTCTTCAATTTACCGACAGAGTTGAACTCTGAACCGACATGTTTTTTACCCACAATGTCGTTCGAGAATGCATTACGTCACTCCTTGGCCCACAACCTCGATCCCAGGGTCTTTTCCCAAAGCCAGGGAACAGACCCTGGGAACGAGGTTGCTGGTCCCAGAGCCCAGGCTCTCCACAAGGTACGATAAAATAAGGGTCCTTTCACAGGGAAGGTGGTTCTGGAAGATATGGATAGATTCTTAGACTAAGAGTTTCACTAATATTCATTAATCGTTTCCTTCTGAAAATTTCCTCAGTACACTCCAATCACCAACTTTTACTGCCCTTTACCCAAGCTATCGGGCTGGGGCTGGGGGGATACTCCCTATAATAGCCTATACAAGAAGGCCCTATTCCAAAGGGAGTACCTTTTTCAAGCTTTGGGTGTATAAAAGGGAAGGGATTTCACAAGTTAAGGTGAGAACGGAAATCTGTCAATTAGGTATTTAAAAGGGCATTTAATTAAAATATTTCAAACAGACACACCTTAAGGCTGTATCATTTAATTCATTAAGTCAGGAGCCCTTGAAAGTGACAAGAAGACTTCCTTTTTTTGCAACTTATTCACAATACAGGCCAGTTACAGCAGCATGTGAAAAGGGTGCCTTTTTTCAATAAGACATGTTATTTTTTCTGTCAAAATGGTATACAAAAGGAAAAGGGTTGGACCTTGTGAGGGAGCCTCCCCATATAAAAACCAGAGAGCCTGTTCACTGGTTCATAATAACATTGATATAGGTTGATGCAACAGATCTAGACCTCAAACTTATTCAAATTTTTTTCATTAGTGTCTTCCCACCCCATGAGAAAGGGAAAGGTCCCGAACTTGTCTGGTCACATCTACTTTTAACCCTTCTTAAAGAACAGAATAATTAACATGCCTGACAAATAATTTACTGGGTTGCATATGAGAACATTGCTGTTAGGAATCTTTGCTTTCTTTTTATTTGAAGCTTTAAGGTAGGGTGAAGAGAAAGCCAGAGATCCAAATATCATTTATTAATATTAACAATATACCAAAGAAAGACTAATTTCAAAAAAATTAAATTTTATTACAAGGTAGCCTCAAAAAAGAAAGTAAAAGTAACAATGTCTGGAAAAGTGCAGCACTACATAAAACTCGTAAAATGAAATAATTTTTATAGCGTTCCTTAAACACAAACGTATAAAGCAACACTGAAATTGCCACCTAAGCAGGCTTTGAAATCTAAAAATTATTTAGCATTTCAAAATTAATTCTGATAAGCTAATAAATTCTTATAAGTCAAAGCAACCTAATCTATAAAACAGTACACCTGTATAAATGGTAATTTATTCAAGCATTGACATATAAATATCAAGCACTGTAGAAAACAAATTTAATTAAATAACTAATTACCAAGGCATTACTTAGTCTTTTATTGTTTTAATGTCTTATATCTACTGGGCATTTTTAACCTACCAGTAATGGTTATTTAGGGTTGTCAGTACCCTTTTACTCTTTCAGTCTTAAAACCTGGATGATTGCTAAGTTTAATGACTCCTGGAAGCACCACTAAATGTTCAACTTCTGTTTTCACAAGTGCAGAGATTGATTGCCAACAAAATTTCACAGAAATTGCATTTCTTCAAAACACCATCTGTTTTCTTGATTTATTTTCAAAATATATTAGGAGCTCACTTTACATTTTGTTTTCTTTTGTCAGGATTGTCTGGAAACATTCACAGGCCAATACAAGGGGGCTTGAGGTTGACCATCTCATGTTACAACATATCTTTCTTTAATGATATTTAAAGATATTGAATAAAGCTAGAAATGAAGAAGAGCACAATATAGTAAGACTATTAAGTATTTTAAGGGCCATAATTGTTACGGCCATTAAAATACTGTATATTACCATCTTTTAAACACGAACACACAAACACATGCACGAGCACACAACACACACACACACCAAGACTACAATCAACTAAATTTAATACTGAGCAATACCACAAACTGGAACAGAAAGAGGGAGGTCATTCCAACAGTATTTACCAATAACAGCGGGGCAAAACTTCCTTATATTTATTCTTAAGTGGAAACAATTATTATTGTTGGGTAGATGCACTTCGGGTAGAATAATTATGTTGCTCAGATACGAGAGATATTGAAAAATTACAAGGCTTATTGTCACTGATATGTTCATACATCAATAAACATGTTTACAATTTAACAATATTGTGAAATTTAAGTAAACCTAAATTAACATAATGAGGAGTAATAGAAACTTGTAAAGGAACATTGTTTATTATAATTCTAACTACTTTATTCTGTAATCGAATGAGTTGTTGCTTAGGGGTAGTTTATGCCCTCCAGCAATTTCTGTGGCCCCTCTTTCTGAATTTGCTGGATCTGACCCTGCAGTTAAGTGAACAATGAAAGCCTGACCACATAGGATTCTACAAAATAATATGAGTAGCAGCTTTAACTAAGTATTCAATTCTTTCAATTATGCAAAGAGTGCATGAGTTTTTTGTTCATATCTTAACTGATACAAGTAAGATCGTGACAAATTTTGAATTTTATCACTCCCACCTTTTTCAGGAACTGGGCATTTAAGGAGATAAGAGTGGCCGTCTTTCTGAGTCCTCGTTAACCAGTAACATCTCTCTCCCTTTCTTGAGTTTTCTGTTGTGGGCTATACGAATGATCAACAAGATGAAGGCAATGATAATCAGTAATGCTCCTAGCAAGACCAATCCAAGCTCAATTCCATGAACAATAGTGAACTTGGAAAGGACTTCACTCTTTAACTTATCAGCTGATGCTTTGTCAATTGTTGCTGTTTCATTGATGTAAAAGACAGGGACAAACATTTTCTTTACTTTACCAGTCTGGGGGATCAAATCAACATGTTCAATCTTTACATTGATTTGCAAACGCTTGCTGCTTTTTATTGATATTCCAGTGTGTGGTTCCACGTTGAGAACTGTTCCATGCTCCTCTTTATTTGGAGAGAGGCCATCAACTGCTTCAAGAAGTGACTTGGCCCCCAAGTAGAAATGTGGTGCTGAAATAAACAGAGGTATGGCCACAGGGGATGGTGGCTGGCACACCCCTATGTCTAATATACCAGAGGGGTAGCACTTTGATGTACAAAACCCCTTATTATCAGGGTTTATTGTCCCGTTCTGGAAGGCCTTTGCTGGGACACTGAACTGAAGGGCTTTTATACCTTGGACTTCAATCTTCGAGTCATGAGTTAAGTACAATGAACGACACAACTGATTAACAAATACATACAATGTGTCATCTGAGCTTGTTTCTGGTGCAAATTGAGATCCGTCAGTTCCATTTAACATGTTTGCGTAAGAGGTGTTCCATACTTTCAATTCTGTCTGCCCCTTCCAACTCAAAATGTGCACGAGCGAGTTGATATCGTTCTCGCCAGTAGACACGCTTGTTACGCCATCAAAACTGTTATTTTGCTGAAGGGCAATTATCGGGTTTATCTCAGGTAGTTTTTTCCGGAGAAATGGAGGAAGATCTTTTCTTAACTTATTGTATGCCTCAAATATTGGGTCAGGGTAGCCCCAAATCAAATCGTGCACTCTTCTTGGAGTGAACAGAGTTTCATGGAATCCATCGAAGACGGCAGAAACGAAATTTCGCTCAATAGAAGATGAATTTGCGACTGCTTCAGATAAAGTTACCAAAGGGATGTTGACAGTTGTTACCTTGTCAGTGAAAGGATCGCAAGAATCACAAGAAGTTTCTGCATCGAAAATAAAAGACATTTTCTCGTTGTAAGTCACTGTTTTTGAATTCCATGTTATGTTCTTCTTCGGCCGGTGCTCCCTGTAAGAATAAGGTCCTTTCTGAACAAGGTACGGCCGTTCACCTTGCATTGTTTCCATGGGATTGGCTATATCAAACATAAAGAATTGCAAGTAGATTGGCACGGCTGGGTCTTGCCACTGTTTCGAGGCTTCGGTGCCTGGTTTGAGAATTAACTTCTCATTAATCTTGTTCTGAATTACACGATCCATCACGAAGAATAGAGTAACTCCTGCCACAACGAGCAGAATTCCAACAATGAAAAGTACTGCAATTGTCTTGCCTCCAACAACACAAGTAGGCTTACCTCGACTGCTTGTGACTCCAGCCATGGTTGATTGTTGCGTAATCACTGGAATTCGACCACAAACGAAGAACGCAGTGGGAAAAAATACGTAGGAGACTGCAAACCTCGGTAGGAATTGATATTACCTGTATTTCAGGGTGCAGCGCAGAAGAAACTCGTGACTCAGCTCAGCATACGGAAACTGAAAAGAGCTAATTCCACTGCGTTCAAGCTGGGGGAAAGTGCGAAGGTCACCTTGTATCACGTTTCTGTTAGGCTGTTAACAGGCGAACTTTGCTGTCCTTGCCATATACGGGAAGTAATTGAGAAACTTTTGCCGAGGCCCAAATAAAAGGTTAACTTGGGCGATTTTAAAAAAAAAAAATAGATCTGCAGAGTCACGATATTTTCACGCCCGGCGTTTTGAACTACCGCCGTAAATCGTCACGTGACGTGACAAAGTCAAACTTCCTAAATTTACGGAAGTAAAACTGTTGCCTCTAAAAGTTCGAACTGTAAAACGAGTAGACAGAACCAATCCCTTTGTTTAGGTAGTTCATAATGAACATGAGTAGTTAGGAATTAGTTGTCCCCTCCTTTATCGTGAGAGAGAGAGAGCCTTGGATCAAACTTCATGCCATGTACCTGATATTTTATTGCAATAGTTCCTAAAGGACATGAAGTATGTAACCAGATTTTTCTCACTGAGAAAAATCCCCGGGAAAAATCGTATTATCAATGTCTACGTGGAGATATCGATGACGTCAAGTGTACAATGCCGACTTTAATAACGTTGGGGTCTCCTCAAAATTAAAGCCGTCGGCATGCTTCGGAAATCATCCAAAAAATTCGGAAACGTTCGTAAGGCCTTCGAAAAACATTCAGAGGAGCTTTGGAAGTCTGTTCGAATGGGAAAAGTTGCTTGAAATTCGAAAAGTTACCAAAAAAGTGCCCAGCAAATCGAGGAAAGCCCTACACAGGGCAAACACTAATTCAGAAATCTCAGAAATCAGAAATCTATATATTAGGGGATTTCAGTAGATTTGAGTACGAGATCAGATCGAGTACGAGTACGACTTTTTAATCTAGTTTGCAGGCTTCCGGTTCCTATTATCACATCACATACCATTTCATCCCATGAGCTACCCTCTCTGCCTAAAACCACCATGAAGAGCGAGAGCTAGGGCTCTGGAAACGTCACTGGTTTGAAATTCGAAAAATCTCGCACTCGTAGTCCA